TACATATATATAATGTATTAAATTTGAAGATTTAATCATCAAAGTATTAAAAATATTTTAAAAATAATATTTTTATTTTCTATTAAGTGATTTATTATTATTTCTCTCTTAATTGTCAATTTTATTTGTAATTTTATTATAACAACATCTTAAATTAATATTATTTTCTCTCTTTTATAATAAGCAAATCGGCTCAAACTCGTATTCTTAAGCTTGAGCTTGAGTTCGAAATCGATAAAATTAATCAAGCTCAAGCTCAAGCCGAGGGTGGCTCAAGTTCTACTCAAGCACTCGTTTACACCCCTAATTCAAGTAAAAAGTCAATGGTTTTGAACGAACTGCGAGAGTGGGAGGAAGAAGATCAGAGGGCTTCGATAAAGGGCTATAGGAGGAGACGAGGAGTTGCTCAACGCACTAGCCCAAGCTCTGTTTTTATAGAATGGAAAGGCGGCAACAACAAAGACAAAAAAAAGGAAAGATCCTAATTTGGATAGTCTGAATCGGGAAGGTTGCGAAAAAAGTAATGAGAGCGTACGAATTAGAAGGAGAAGAAAAAAGGAAATTCATATTTTACGGCAATGAATATACGTATTAATTGCTAACATCTTTTATTTAATTTAAAATACTCATGTCATTTGAGCATAATTACAAATAAATAAAATAAAACCATTGGATTTTGGAGATATTGAGGATTTTAGATGGTCCTCATAAATTATTAATTAATACAAAATGTCTAAAAGAACTAGTGTTACTTAATTTAAGAAATAAATATGATGATGTTTAGCAATTTTGCAAGTTTCAAATTGAAAATATTTAATGTTTCTATTCATGAAAAATACACACTGAAGATTTTTGAAAGAAAAAATATCTTAACCTATAATGATGTGTTTGGATATGTTTGATGTTGTAATTGAAGGAGTATGATAGTAGATTTCTAACCTCAAGAAGGTTTAACCCATCATTTTTTCCAGCACGCTCAATCATCTTCCTTGTAGTGAGATCCTAAAAAATATAATAATAAACAAAAATTATAATCAATTTTGCAGTTGTGGTATTTGATAAATTAGTGAGTAGATTGAAGGTTAAGTTCATGACGTGGGAAATGTAATAGATTATTAAGGGTTAAATTGAGAGAAAATAAGAAGTTTCTTTGCCTTGCAATAATTTTTAGAGATTTTTATATAATTTTTTTTTTATTACTAAGTCAAAGTTTGTAAGTTTGAAATATAGTCAATGTTTGCCATATGATCAATGTATAATAATTTTAGAAAAGGGAAAAAAATTGTCAAAGGCACTAAGAGCATAATAATTAAAAATCACAATATTGTGAGCAACAGAGCGAGATCTAAACGAGTTTTATAATAAATTAAGAAACTTTTTAAATTTAATAGTTTATTCTAAATTGAGTCATTCTGACTCTAGTCACTCTACGAGGCAGAACTGTCATTCTTTTTTTTTTATTTGCTTCCTCCATAGTCTTAGGTTTTTCTGTGAAAATTTTGGTATTTGTCCTTGGTGCGCCCTTTCTTATTATAGTAGCTGCACCATAGTTTTTTTTTTAAGAAAAAGAAAGATTTGTGCTTCTTTTGAATAAGGTTATGTGACAGAAAATCTGTTAACTTGTAATTCAAAACTTGTCGTGGCAGAAATCTCCAGGGCAAAACTATTGATCATTATCATCATTTTTCCTTCTTATGCTCATACAAGAGAAATACTTCATTTAGAGAAGTGAGAATTTCTCTACTTAAAATTTAGGTTTGAATTTAACCAAATTTATTTTAGTTTTTCCATAAACTCTTTTTTTTTCTTACTTAATAATGTTTTTAAAGATCATGGCATCCTCACAGCAAGAGATTTTAAGATCTTGATAGTAATCTGACTGTAACAACAGACATTCAAGGCATTAAAGTATTTAATAACAAGAATGTTATCTTATTTGGCAAAGGTGAGCTTTATCTTGATTTTAAAAATGAGTGCAAAATTTGTCACTTTTGAGTAAGTTTCTCTAATTGCATCTCAAACCACTTTTGCAGTAAAGAGAAACATATAATTGAAAGCCTACTAATCTCCAGTAACATTGTGTTCCACAACCATGTCATAATCATGAAACCAGTTTCTTCCCATAGAATTTTGGGTCTTTAGGCTCCTGGGGTAGATTCACAAGATCTTGGATCTTTTTCTTTCCCTTTAGAAAATTCTTTATAATTTGGGATCATTTAAGGTAATTTTTCTCCTTCAAATGATAAGATACTTGAAATACCTGAAACTCTCCTTTAGTTTGATTTTTATTATTAATCATGGTTGATTCCTTTGAAGGGAAGTCAAAGAACCCAGACATAATGAATAGAAAAAGAATTCAATAGAAGGAATAAGATTGGAAGTGGAAACTAGTACCATAGATAATAAAAATTATGATTGGATAGATCAACCTAATCATTATCTGATGCCATTTAGAAATTAAAGCAATGGAAAAAAAAAAAAAAACTCTCAAACCTTGATTGAAGTGCCTCACATTCTTTGACATGATTGGAGTAGAAAAATTTTAACAGGTACAACTCTAAAATAAAATTAAAAAGCAAAAATCTCATCCTGATTAAACTCCAATTAGATGATCCTTATCCAATTTTTTTTTCTTCACTTTTTATATGCATATTCCGACTGATTACAAACCCCAAGCCCCATGAAAAATATAATGCTAATTCATAATGCTAAATCAAGCAATAAATCTTCTAATGGCAATATCAAATTCTACATGGCCACAATAAAAGAAGAGAATTAAAACATAATTACATTTTCATATAGTATAAAAAAGATGTTGACATAAAATCAACAACGAAACATGAATTCTCTTCATCAGAACGGTTCAACAAGAACTAATAATCACCTTGAAATTCAAGGAAAAATGGCCGAGGGTGGAGAAAACTTTCTTTTAGCAACAAACTAGCCATTTAAAAATCTAAAATATGAACTTTTTGGCAGCTAAGAAAACTTCCTCTTGAATCATAAGAGCCAATCTTACTCTGAATATATAAAAAGAGCATAGAAACCAACTCATTCCCCCTCCAACAGAACATCAGCAGACCAAAGAAATCAGTGATTCATTTTTCCTATTAATATGCTTTCAGTTGCAGACCAGCGCTGTCTGGATGAGGCACAACGGTGGAGATCTCACAGAACATCAGCAGACCAAAGAAATCAGTGATTCATCTTTCCTATTAATATGCATTCAGCTGCAGGCCAGTGCTGTCTGGATGAGGCACAACGGTGGAGATCTCGTCGAAGCTGCTTGATGATGAGGGATGGAGGCCATATTCACTGGTCACTCCACTGTATTCATGGCTCAAACCATTGCTATCAAACGCAGCCCTTCTGAAATGGCTCATGCTAGAGGCATAGGAGCCAGCTGATTCACGCTCTGGACTAAAAATGAATTGCATGCTTTGCCCTGGTTTCACTCCTTCAGTCAAGTCCTCAAGTGTTGAATCACCTTCTAGCGCTCTTACAATCTGCGCAAAGTTTCATGAATGGAAAGAGCTTTCCTTCCCCAAAATTATGGGAAGATGGAACTAAGTTCAAAGAATAGCAGAAGAAGCTGTCTTTACCTGGCTCATCTTTGGACGCATTTTAGCAGAATGTCGAACGCTTGTAGCAGCGCATGTCACCATCCTCGCCATCTCCATTTTACTGTAATTCCCGTCGAGTCTTGGATCAACGAGTTGATCATAGCTCTCATCAGTTAATGCCTGTGTCAATAAAGGCCTTGCCTGATACCAACAGAAAAATTGATATGATATATATCTTAATCAAAAGTTATATCTTGAATATCCTTCAAACAAAGTCTTTTACCCAATCAACCAAGCTATCCTCCATAGGATTGCTGTGAACTGGCTTCTTGCCAGTTATAAGCTCTAAAAGCATAACGCCAAATGAGAAAACATCAGACTTCTCAGAAAGCTTGCCGCTTGACGCATACTCAGGAGCCAGATACCTGAAACATGGCTACAAGACTTCAGTTTCATGAGGCAGTCTTTCCTGTTGTAATCTTTATTGAAGTCACTGAACTATAGCTCACCCAAATGTGCCCATAACGCGAGTTGAGACATGGGTGTAGTTGTCTGAAGATAACTTAGCCAGTCCAAAGTCCGCAACCTGGTTTAATTGATTTCAAACACCATACTTATCATCAAATCATGAAGGCCGAATTGAATGAGGATATATAGAATTACACACTACCTTAGCCTCAAATCTGTAATCCAGCAAAATGTTTGAAGCCTTGATGTCTCGATGGATGATCCGAGGATGGCCTTCATTTATAATGTAACATAAAGAGAAAACGAAGATAGTTAATAGAGAAATAATGAAGTACGAGTCAAAGTAAACATCCGTTACTTACAATCTTCATGCAAGTAGGAGACGCCTTTAGCTGATCCTAAAGCAATTCTCATTCTGGTAGGCCAGTCCATTGTTGGCTGGTCCTTTCCTGCAAGACAGAGATACTTCACTATTGTACAATTCCGAGTAAATAAGGAAAGTGGTCTATTTCAATAAGGAGCAAGCTCGGAAATAGATGAAATGAGGAAAAGAAGATAGCTTACCATGCAGGTGGAACTCCAGAGTCTTGTTAGGAACAAACTCATAAACAAGCAAGCGTTGAGATCCAACAATGCAGTAACCGACAAGGGAGACCAAGTGGCGATGGTGAACTCTGCTAATGATCTCAACCTCAGCTTGGAACTCTCTCTCACCTTGTCCGCTTCCTGCTTTGAGCTGTTTCACAGCAACTTCTTGCCCATTTGGCAATACTCCCTTGTACACATAGCCAAAACCACCTTGTCCCAGTATGTTTGCATCGGAGAACCCATTTGTAGCAGCCTCCAACTCTTCATAGCTGAATGTACTCTTAACAAAACCAAGGGCGATGGATGGAGAAGACTGAAGTGGCACACCATTTGGTCCTGAGTAATTCACGCTGTTTTCGGTGTTGATGTTTGGGGGAGCAGGAGATGCATTCCAAGCCATGCCTGGAGGTGGTGGGAGCTTGGCCACAGCTCCTTGTCCATTATTATTCCATTTTGGAGGAGCTTTTCCGTTGTTGTAGTAATCTCCAACTACAAATCCGGATTTAGTAAAGCTTGAGAAGGTTCACTATTTTATAAGCTTTGGAATGACATTTGAGAAAGCTTGCTAAGTTTTAATAAATAATTTAATTGTTTGTTTTTATGATTTAAGATTTATGAAAGGTAGAAAGCCTCAAATTTGTTAAATCGTGTTAATAATGGGATTTAACAGAGGGATTTACAAACATCAATGGCAGATAATATTAATATCCTTAGTGTTAAACTTCTGAAAGTTTCAACTTATCTTTTAAGACATCAAATATGAAGAACCTATTAAGCAGTTGCAGGCGCGAAAATTTATTTAAAAAATGCATTGTGAAACATATCATTATACAAAATATCAACTTGGCATTAACCGTCGTGCAATTCAGTAGAGTGATCCTGATGAAATGTAATTGTAAAAGCAAAGTAGAAACCTTTGACCCCCGTATGTTGAGGGTAGTTGATCGAGTTATGAGACTTCTTCTCCTTCCTCTTCTTCTTCTTCTTCTTCACCTTCCTGCAGCATAAGCATGCTACAATGCCGACAATCAGGAAAAATAGTGTGATTCCTGCTGCAGCACC